GCTGCTGTTGTAGCTGCCCTGATTCGAAAGCTGTGGGAAGCATAGAGTTCTGTTGGAATGTGTAGGCGTTTGAGAAGAAGACAAAGTGTTGAGGTGACTTGGGCTCTGGTGAGGTAGAGGCCAGACTGGAAAGTGTAGAAGGGGCCATCCGAATTGAAAGGATGATGAGCCATGTATTTTTTAATCGCACGAACTGCGCAGACGGAGTGGCCTGATGGGGCAATCAGGAGGGAGCAACCTTGGCGATAAGGGTCTGTTTTGGAAGACTTCAGGTGTAGACTTAAGGAGCCATCAGAGTTAAAGGATATATCATTGCCGCTGAGGTGTGACAGTGCATTGAAGTGAGAGGTGGATGGTAAAGTAAACTCACTTGAACGTAGGAAAGCAAAGAAGGCCAATGTGAAGGCAGACCATAGCATGAGTTTGTCACACGGAAGGATGTCAGGTGCTTGTGCCAGCTCAGTCTTGAGTTTCCAAAGGAGGGACATGGTGATGGGAAGGCAGCATTTGGAGGAAAGGCCCACACTGCATTTGATGCCCCGCAGAAGTAGATGGAGTAATGGGGTATCCTGGAATGGGTCAGGGAGGTTGTTCTCAATGTGAACGAAACGAATGCTGGCCATGTACAACTTGACAGTTCTGTAAGAAACTTGGTCGGCCAAGAAGGCAGCAAAATAATGCAGTGTAGGTTCTGTAGCTGGAAAACTCTGCCATTGCCGAGAGGTGCAAAAAGTGATGTACCTCTGCACGCCAGCTGAGTAAGTGCGAGCTGATGGAACCGCACCATCTGCAAACGGGATAAAGAATCAGCAATTGAGTTATCGGTACCAGCAATATGTGAGACTAGGATTGTGAAATGGTGAGTAGCACCACTGAAAAATATGAAGCAGACAAGGTGCATGATGTTGGGGTCTCGGGAAGTGCCAAAAGCCCAGATATCAACTACTGCCTGATTGTTGCAGTGAAAAACGTTTTCTTTCCCGACCATGAATGACCCCACAAGAGGTAGGCAAGAGCAACAGGATAGAGCTCCTTCCATTGGATAGAACGACCTTGAAGAGGAGGTGGCCAGGTGTCAGCAATCCAATGACCAGAATAGTAAATACAATATCCAAGGGTCCCAGACGCATCTGTAAAGAGGGCCAAGTCTGGGGATCTTGACCAGTGTGGGTCAGGAATAATCGCTCGGCCATTCCAAGTGGGAAGGAATCTTTGCCACCAGGCAATATCGCGGCGAGCCTCGAGATTCATGGAAATGTGATGGTGGGGGAGCCTAGCAGTTGACTTAGGTCAATAAGGCAACGCAGGAATATGTGCCCCGCAGGGATGACGTGACAAGCAAAGTTAAGTTTGCCGATGAGGGACAGCAACTTGCGCTTAAGGCACTTTTTACAAGACGACCAAGACTGAGTTCAGCAAGAAGCTCCTTAAGTTTATCATCTGGTAGGGCAGTTTCCATGCAAGTGATGTCAATCAAGATGCCAAGGAAGACCAGTGATGTGGTCGGTCCTTCCAGCTTCTCAGGAGCCAGAGGAATCCTCAGGTGTGAGGCCATGTGGATTATAACATTGACATTGTCGGCACAGGTCTTGGAGTTTGATGGCCCCACAGTGAAGTAATCATCTAGATAGTGCATGAGATCTGTAATCATGTAATTGTTTTTAAGAATCCATTCCAAAGCATCGGCAAGACGATTAAAAAGGTATGGAGAGGAGCGCAAGCCAAAGGGTAAATGAAGGTCTATGTAGTATTGGCCTTCCCAATGAGTGCCAACAAGTTCCAAGTCAGCCAGGTGAACTGGACAGAGGCAAAAGGTGTGTTTGATATCAAGTTTAGCCAACATAGCGTTTTGGTTGTGCCGGGCAACAAGAGCAAGAGCTTGATCAAAGGTGGCATAGTGNGCCAGGTGTCAGCAATCCAATGACCAGAATAGTAAATACCATATCCAAGGGTCCCAGACGCATCTGTGAAGAGGGCCAAGTCTGGGCATCTTGACCAGCGTGGATCAGGAATAATCGCTCAGCCATTCCAAGTGGGAAGGAATCTTTGCCACCAGGCGATATCGCGGTGAGCCTCAAGATTCATGGAAATGTGATGGTGGGGGAGCCTACCAGTTGTACTTAGGTCAATAAGGCGACGAGGAATATGCGCCCCGCAGTGATGACGCGACAAGCAAAGTTAAGTTTGCCGATGAGGGACAGCAACTCGCGCTTAAGGCACTTTTTATGAGACGACCAAGACTGAAGTTCAGAAAGAAGCTCCTTAAGTTTATCATCTGGTAGGGCAGTTTCCATACAAGTGGTGTCAATCAAGATGCCAAGGAAGACTAGTGATGTGGTCAGTCCTTCCAGCTTCTCAGGAGCCAGAGGAATCCCCAGGTGTAAGGCCATGTGGATTATTATTTTGACATTGTCGGCACAGGTCTCGGAGTTTGATGGCCCCACAGTGAAGTAATCATCTAGATAGTGCATGAGATCTGTAATCATGTAATTGTTTTTAAGAATCCATTCGAAAGCATCGGCGAGACGATTAAAAAGGTATGGAGAGGAGCGCAAGCCAAAGGGTAAACGAAGGTCGATGTAGTATTGGCCTTCCCAATGAATGCCAGCAAGTGCCAAGTCAGCCGGGTGAACTGGACAGAGGTGAAAGGCGTGTTTGATATCAAGTTTAGCCATCAGAGCGTTTTGACCGTGCCAGGCAACAAGAGCAAGAGCTTGATCATAGGTGGCATAGTGTAATGTGTAGGTGTCCTTAGATATGTAGTCATTCACAGAGGAGCCATGAGGGGAGGAGAGATCCATGATGAT